AGAGAGTGTGTTACGAGAACCAATGTGAAGTTTGTGGGTTTATTGGGCTTGTTTGGTGGTTCTGTTTAACAACCCTTTGGGCCTATGCTATAACCCGGTTTGCTTGTTTGTCTTTGAACCATTTGTGACCCTTAATTCAACCTACGGTTGAGATTGAAGTGGGTGAGATATTTTTTTGTTTTTGAATCTATATCACGTGGGTCTTTGGCTTCCTTGATACACAACCTCGACTTCCTTCCTGGACACGATTTTTCTCTCTGCTCTGCTCAGTTCTTCTTCCCCTTCGTGTGTGCCCTAAAATCTACCTATAGTCCATTAATTGTTGAAACTCCTGAGTGTTCTTAGGCCTGAAATAGTAGCTAAGATGGTTGGGTTTCTCGGGGACTTAGGGCAGTGATTTGGGCGTTCTCCTTGGCTGTTCTTAGTAGACCTTCGGTCGATGATCCAAGCCAAGATTGAAGGGTGTTTCTTGGTTGGTTCTTATCTCTCTCTGGACAGCGATTGCAAGCTAGGAAGGGGTTGTTCCTGAGCCTAGTGAATTCGACCAGCAAGAAGGGAAGAACAGACTGGAGATAGAGGAAACACGACAAAACAGGGAAGTAAAAGTTTATGTCCATTTATATGTTCAGTTCAAAGGTTTTGATTTCAGTTTCTATGATTGATAGTATCCTGCTGATTTATATAATCTGTAAATGCATTGGTATATTGTTAATTCTGATTTCTGGAGTATGCTGAATTTCTGTTGGTGATTATTGAACTGTCATTTGGTTTAATTGAATGGATGAACTCTGTTATTAGTTAATGTTGAGATTCAGATTGGCTATTGAACTTGAACATCATTTTATGAGCTGCTAGAACTATATTAATGTTGTGCATTGTGTCTACATTGGTCAGTATATTCCCAACACATTAGCTGAATGTTTTTCAAACTATCGCTTAGTTTTCTAATGTTTAGCCTGTCAGTAGACTCTGGTAGGCAAACCTCGTAGTCGCTCAGGAACAGGTTACTCTCAACATTCATGTTAGTTAGAGATAGTGTCCACATTGCAGTCTGACTTGTCCCCAGAAATGCTGAAATTTACGTGTTATAGGCTTTAAACTTAGCAGGACCCTTCCTCCGGTGTCAATCTGTTTTGTTCATATCTGAATAATAAACTTTGGCCAAACAATATGAAAGTGTCAATCCTTTAAAAAAAGAGTTCGACGAGAGCTCTACCCCTAGAAGCGGAGCGGATTATGGAGTCTGCTGTCGGTACTACATCACTGAGTGACATCCACTAGAGTATTAGTACAAGACGCAAATAGGGGCATACCTTAAATAGAAGACACAACGACATCTGCTAAGTTTCATAGCTAGGCCTTCCCAATATTCGACTTAAATTACGGTCTTTTAGTTCGAGAATGCTTAGTGGCTAACTCTACGGGAATATAAGTTCGATAGTTCTCGTATGATCAGGACTTGAGCTCTTTGCGTAAACCTTTGCTTAGATCAGCTTTCTACATAGTTTGACAAAATAAAATTTCTGCACTCGAGAGATTGTCATCAAAATAGAACAGGAGGAATATTCTGTGGTCCAATGCAAAATGTGTTTAGGAATATTACACGATATTACCATATTGCCCCTAATTAAATACAGAGGGACCAAGAGCATTTAAGTGGAACATTATCGCCCATGCAAATAACTACTGCCCACAAACTGCAGCTCGAATTTATTATACAAGGTATTAACCATGGAAAAGTCTTTACCAAGAAAGATTCATAAAACATAATGTTAAACAAACGAATCAAAGTAATACTATATAGAAGACCCAAATGCAGCATTATAGGATTACAAACTTTAGTGTGCAGCATGTTTAGTAATCAGTATTAGAGGACTTTAGACAAGATTCCAGCTTTTCTTTTCTGTCATTAATACTGCCGATTTCTGTTTAATCCTCATTATCAAACATGCAACAATAGTTTACGACTCCATCGTCCACACACAATATGAGGTATGTCGTATGAGACAGAAATGAATGTGAAACAAACACTTGCCCGCGCATGAACACATATATGACTTACAGAGGAGAGCAACAGAGTGACCAGCTCCAGCAGAGATGAGAAGCACTCTATGATGAGGCCCCGTGCCATCACTGCTACTGCTATGAATTCCACTTCCTTCTTCCATCACTCTCTCTCTCTGGAGTATTTTATAAAACACTTTGGAGTCGGAATAGAAAGGGAGTGATAATTTCAGGTATCTTCTCAACTCAGTTATTCACGCTTGAAAGCAATGACATGAGGGAGATTTATAGGTGGGTACAGATGGCACATGCCCATGTGCCCCTGTTGCATTCAGCTCTTCCAGAGTGGCAGAAATGTAAAATTATTACAGTTGATTTTCAAGTTCAAATAAAATTTCAAATTCGTCATTAATTCATTTCTGCAATTCAGATTACATAATTGATCATTCCATTAACCTGATTAACGCTATATTCAACGTAGTAGTTGTTAAATCTTTTTCACGTCAACTATAACGTTTGTTATTGGCGAACTCTTGCCCCAAATATGCGAACAATATAATAGCAGGCGAACCAGAGAAGCTGAAGTGAACATTCTTTAAGTACAAGAACCCATAACTCAAAGCATAGAGTTATAGAAGGAGAAAACCCTGACTACGTGAAGGAAATTTGTTGATCATCTTTTTGAGATCAACAAAGTTAATACGATTTAGTCCTTCCAACTAGTCTCAAATAGAATAATTTAAGACTTTTCTGTCGAAAGCAAATTGTTTTTTATTTAAGGATTCGTTTTATTTTAAAAATCTGTAATTTCAAGATATGGACACAAAATCTTTAATCATTGTCAAAGGTTTTAGGGGCCAAGAACATATCTAAAGCGGAAGCTGTTAAAAGAAGGTACAAACTACATAGCATTGTTTAACTTTACCCACAAATTTCACTAAAATTTTTCAGTGAGGATTTATGATATTAACTCAAAACTATTAATACCACGTTTTTATATTTACTACTTTGAAATGGACCCTTCAAAAATAAAGTACTGCTACTAATTAATAGCACAGGACACTGGGGTAGTTTAGAATTTATTTTCCAATGTTTATTCCTTTTTATTTTCTTGGAGTTGGAGAAGAGTTATAAACCCTGATCGTATTGACAGTACAAACCGAACGACTTTATAGAAGCATGTGCTGAGTTACCCCACAGCATAATCATTGGCCTGCTCGCTGCAGGCATGCATTTTTAAATTATGAATAAATAAAAACAAGCGACAAATAAGTGAATAATATTTATGGATCTTTCAAAATATATAAAATAAAAATCGACTTTAGTATTTATAAACATAGACTAGACCACAAAACATGTTTTCCAATTATTAATGGTTGAAATTTAATGCCCCAAAGTCCAAGATGAAGAAATTTAAAGAAGTTAGCATAGAAAAACATTAGTCAGACAAAGAAAAAGGAGGAGACTAGAAGAAATATTAGCACGGTCACATGGATGCATGTATTGCGGCATTGATTAAGGTTATTGCAATGAACCATTTTTTGCTTTGCTCTCTTTATCAAGTTATTCAACTACCATATTAATAAACAAAACGCCAACAAACGCAAATTCACGGAGGAATTTAGCCTCTGTTTGGTGGCCTTAAAATTTTAAAAACATAATTTTAAATAGTACTTTTTGGAAAATGTGTAATTAAAAAATAGGAAAAAAATTAAATTTATATGTAGAATATTTTATTATATGAACGTGTGATTTTATTTAAAATAAATTAAAGTAAAATCAAACATAGGCTTAATGTATACATTGATGGTTACAATTTCGTGAAACATGAGTGCATGTTTGATACACATTAATTTATTTTATGGTTAAATATACGATCATTTTCAACTTCACATTTATATAATAAAATATTCTACATGTATACCAAAAGTTTTTTCCTACTTTCTAACCACACATTCTCCTAAAAATACTATTCAAAACTCATTTTTTCCTAATTAATAAGAATCAAACAAGCTCTAAGTTTACAAATTTAAGGTTGGGAATACAAAACTTCACTTCTAGATGTTTAGAACCTATAGTCACATAACGTGAAATCTTGGAAAGCTCAGCCCATTTTCGTCTTTAAAGTCAATCTAGACATTTTGAATCAAAAGAGATAAAAGGTCAAGAGTGAGAGAGTTCGATCCATGTCTAATTAAGAAATTCCAAAATTTGATCTTTCTCGCCTAAGAAATTCCTCATGAATTTTTATCTTTAATTGAGAAGCTTATCAATCAAAATGATTATATAAAGAATAATTCCAAGAGAACTAGGGGTGGGAATGGGTCTAGGCCGTCCGTCGACCTGATCCTGATTTTATATGGTCCAGGCTTCCACATTCCAGGCTTCCACATTCCCGACCCGGAACCTTATGTACGGGCCACATTTAGGGCCACCCACTACCCTATGAATTTAAAATACCCTTAATTATCATTAATCTTTAATTAATAGTAAAATTTACGTGAATTTTCAATTTTAAAGTATTTTTCACTTTTTGTTCTAAACGTGAGAGAACAAAAAGTGGCATGACATCACTTTTTATTTCAAAAAGTAGTATAACATGTCACTTTTTGTTTTACAAGTGACAAACCTTTTGTGAAATAAGTATCATCAAATAGTTTGGAAATAAAATATGGTCCAAATTCATCTAGGAAAATAACTCTTAATTTGTTTTTGATTGCTTAGGGACATAAGCAAGGAGGTTACAATTCAAAATTAATTTTATCTCTCTAATTGATTCAAAATTGAATATCAATATATACAACTCACCACCATTGATCCAAATTTGAATTTTGCATTTGAAAAACTTATAATCTGATAAATAAAAATCATAAAGAAAAACAAAATTATTAAAGTAGATGTGTGTTATAAAACTAAAAAGAAAAGGGAATAAAGTAGATAAGTCAATAGACTTTTGCATATTTCATTTAAAATCAAAGTGCTATATTTATAGAAAGGAATTAGGACTACTATGGATACAATAGTCATAATAACTAGAGTTGTAGGGATATAATGATCATTCACTAATAAACATATAATTTACAATATTCCTCCTTGAATAATTCATTACAAAATATTTACCTTGTTGGATAAAAATCAAATGAAATAAAAATATCAAACAAAAGAAAAAGAATACAAATAATTATAACAAAATTGGAGTAATAAAATGATGCCTCGTTAAAATCTCGTCAAGAAAATTCAATGAAACAAAATTTGATCGAAGAAAAAAAATACAGCTACTCCCCCTCATTTCAATAAATGAAAATTCTTGTATTTAAGTCATTCATGTCTTGCACGTCAATATCTATAATATTGCAATTCTTGTGAAGCATATTTCGTGTTATCTTGTTATAACATTCAAACAATATTATGATATTTATCAATCTTTATTTATCTTTAGTCAACATAATTATCTATTAAAAAATAGACTATGTTGTTGCTCTTCATGAGTCGTTCACAATTTATAACATATAAAAATATTATTTTGAGGGTAAATATCATGTAGGTTATAGATATCATTACACAAAGAATATGATTACACTATTCTTCTGAGTATGCATAAAAGAGTTGTCTTATTAAAAATATTGTCAGAAAAATTCAATAGGACAAAATATTTATCAAGAAAAAAGAGTAAAACACGTATTTATTCCCCTGACGATATTATCACTTGAATTATATGTTTCAAGCATATTAAATCCTTTATGGATAACATTAATAATTATGTTAGATAAGTTGTCTATAATTACATTTTAAATTTCATGCATCATTAGGATAACAAGATACGGACTTGTGATTGCATCCACCTAGAACTTTGCAAAATTTACTATATTAAGATTTGTGCATTATATATTACGACTTCATTTTTCCATTTCTTTTTCGCATAAGTATACACCTTTAGATTTTCAAACTATAGATCTAAAAATTTCTAGTTTTTTCTAGTAAATTCAATTTTACTAAGACTGTATCCTTTTATTTGGCTAATTATTTCTTCAATAGATTTGCTTCAATGAATTTATTTTGATATTCTCGCTATTCATAATACGAAGTGCTATATCATGTGCAAAAAAGTGTTGTCAACAATTTTTTTTTCATGACGGTTTAACTTATTGAGCTCCACTTTTAATATTTCAAATACTTTTCTGGGGATTTATAATTAGTTATGTATATATGTTCTCCAAGAATATACACTTCTTAATGTGATCTTCTTTTTTTGCTCCATTTTTTAAGGAGATTTTAACTCAAGATTATCTTATGTGAAGAAAAGTGTTGTTTTTCACGTGCTCAAGTGGAGAGAGTTTTTGTGGCCATCAGAAAGATTTTCAAGATGCTCTCAAGTGGTAGACAAAAATGTTTTTCAAGATGCTCTTGTTGGAAAAACTGGAAAAGTGG